CATAGACTGGGTGGCTTAAGTAACAAACATTTGTTTCTTACAATTCTGGAGGCTGAGAAGTCCAAGATCAAAGTGCTCGCAGATTTGGTGTCTGGTGAGAGCTCTCCTCCTGCTTTTCACATGGCTGCCTTCCTCTTCTTTTATGAGTACTAATTCCATCATGAGGGCTCCACCCTCATGACCTCATATAAATCTAATTATACCCTAAAGAACTCACCTCCAAATACCATCACATTGCACATTAGGCCTACGATACACATCAATTTGGGGACATACAAACATTCAGTTAATCACAGATGGTTTTAGGTTGACTCTTGAGGCAGGGACAAAATGTGAAAAAGGTCTCTTTTATTGTAAAAAGGTATTTACCTTGACATTTAGAAATGGCAATGGCTTCTGCTTTCTTTATTATTATTGTTGAACTTAAACTGAATTGGAGTTTTTAAAATTAATTGCTGACATTTTACTACCAGAATTTCTTAGCAGTATTAGCTAGATTGGGAGTCAATATCATTTTTAAATAAAAGCAGTGTCAGTCATGGATCATCCAGGAAAACAAAAATCATTCTAGGTATTTCAACTAGAACAAGGCTTAATATGGGGAATAAGGTACCTACAGAAATCATTGAGAGGACTAGAGGAGAAAAGTCAAGAGCACAACCACAGCTATGGTCTATTCAAGGAGCCAGAGAGATTCTGATGCCATTCTGTGGTCAGCAACTGATAAAAAACCACTGTTGGCCTCATCACTCCTCTGCAGCCCTAAGGGAGGGAATTTCAAGGGAACTTGGAAACTGTTATTAAAAATTCCCATTTGCTATTGCCATTTGCAACAACATGGATGGATCTTGAGAGTCCAGTGCTAAGCAAAGTAAGTCAGGTGGAAAAGTACAAGAGCCATATGTTTTTATTCATTTGTGAACTATGCGACAGAAAGAAACATACAAAACAAACAAGAGAACTCATTGCCACCTAGAACAATGGTGGTTATTGGAGGGGAAAAAGGGTGGGGTAGGTTGAGGAGGGTAAATGGATGATGGAAGGATATTAAGCTTTGGGTGATGAGTGCACAATGCAATGTACAGATGATGTATTATAGAATTTTACACTTGAAACTTGTATAATCTTATTAACAAATATCATCCCAATAAATGCAATAAAAAAAACCTATATGCAAAAACTATCAGAGGAAGCAGAGTAATTCCATCCCCTATATGCCTTCTAGTTCTGGCATGAGTGTATCACCTTATCAACTAAGCCATTCACAGTACCCTGCTGAAAACTGAGTATGTGATATTTAGTTCCCAGGCTTCCAGCCTTATGATGTAGGGAGAAGAGAGAAGGGGAGGGAAAAGTGCAGGGCCAATATCTGGTTATCATTCATTCAATTAGCCTAGTCCCCAGCATCCTGGTTTTATTTCTCAGCATTTGTAATGGTGAATTGGATTATGAAGTGTATGAGTTGTAATTATGTTTTTGCCCTTGTATTGAATAGAGAAAATTCCTGATTATATACACATTAGGTTGTTTAATTTGGAGTCAACTAAAAGTCAGAATATATTTAATGAAAGCTAGGGACCTGAGACCCAATGACTGGAATACCATTAACTATCTGGGATGGTAATATAACAATAGTATAACAATAGTACTCTGTTTCCCTGAAAATAAGACAGTGTCTTATATTAATTTTTGCTCCCAAAGATGCGCTAGGTCTTATTTTCAGGGATGTCTTATTTTTCCATGAAGAAGAATACAGTACACATTTATTGTTAAATGAAAATAAAGGAAATTTATTACCTGTATATGGTACGGTAGTACAGTAGTTGTCAACACAAACCAGACAAACTGTGAATCCTACAGTATCAAGAATTTACTCATTTATTCAATGACAATCATATCATCATCTTCTGGAACATCATCATAACAATCCAATTTCTGAATTTCCTGGTGAATTTCTTGTGACTCAATTTCTTTCAGAATCAGTGGACCAAATCTCTCATGTTTAGCAATAGCATTCTGAGACAGAGCCTAGGGGGGGCCTTATTTTTGGGGGATGCCTTATATTTCACTCAGAAGGAAACCTGTAAGTAGATCTTATTTTCAGAGGATGTCTTATTTTCGGGGAAACATAGTAGTAGTGATAATCATCCTATATAATAAAAGCCTAATATGCTAAGTGGTCATCTGTTCAACCAATCAAAATGTAATATGCTAATGATATGCTAAGGCTGCTCAACTGCTTGCTATGATGTGCACTTACCACCATGGGGCAGATACTCCGACTGGTAGGTTAGCTTGCTTCTGGGATCTGGCTGATTGGGACTGATCTACATGGGCCGGACATGCCTTAGAGCCCTCCCGTGGTCCCTCCTCAGCTGGCCAACCTGCCACATCTCTCCCTGGCCCAGTGATTGTGCATTGGTGGCGTCTCTTGGCCTGGTCTGCACCCTCTCGCAATCCAGGACACTTCGGAGGATGTTGGAGAGTCCATTTTGGCCTGATTCCTCTCAAGGCAGGAGCTTCTCCCTGGTAGTCAGTGTGCTCCCACAGGGGGAGCTCTGTTCAGCCAGAAGCCAGGTTCACAGCTGGCGAGTGCAGCAGTGGTGGCGGTAGCCACTCACACCTCTGTGGGATGTTTGACTGCTGCGGGGAGCAGGCCTAAACCATCAGTCGGACAACCTCGAGGGGTCCTGATCTGTGAGAGGGCACAGACAGGGCTGAGGTTCCCCTTCCCCCACCCCGAGTGCACAACTTTCATGCACTGGGCCTCTAGTATAATAATGATGATGATGATAATGATAGCTACTGATTATCTTTACTATTGGCAATTTTCTAAATGTTTTAAATCTACTAACTCAGTGGTTGGCAAACTCATTAGTCAACAGAGCCAAATATCAACAGTACAATGGTGAAATTTCTTTTGAGAGCCAAATTTTTAAAATATAAACTTCTTTTAATGCCACTTCTTCAAAATAGACTCGCCCAGGCCGTGATATTTTGTGGAAGAGCCACACTCAAGGGGCCAAAGAGCTGCATATGGCTTGTGAGCTGCAGTTTACCGACCACAGTACTAACTCATTTGCTTTTTTAGCAAAATCAGATGTGGTAGATACCATTGCTATTCCCACTTTATAGATAAAGGCACTGAAATACCTAGTCATTATATAAGTCTCCCAATTTCAATACAGCTAAGAGTGGCAGAACAAGACTTTGAATTTCAAACATCACAAAAACACATAGAAATTCCAGCAGTCAAAAATAGGGTTTTTATTCACTTGTTACTTTATTTTAAATCTTTTTATTAGGTGCCATCGACGTATGAGTTTTCTTTGGCTTTCCCTTCTGTTTACCTTTGTATTTTGTGATAAAATTAGTGGGTAAAATTCATTGACAGTGTTCTATGTGTCAGACACTATGCTAAAGGATTTGCAGGTAATATACCCTTTAATGCACAAGACCACTTAACGAGGCCTGGAGAGGTCAGGTAGCCTATTCGTGTCACACAATAAGTAAGTGGCAGAGCCTGGAATGAAATGCTAGCACTGCACTGGCCAAGACGGTTAGCTACTAGCCAAATGTCACGGCTGGGCGCTTTCAATGTGGCTAGTCTAATTATGATGTACGGTGAGTATAAAATGCATACTGTATTTCAGAGGCTTTTCACAGTGTGGCACATCTGGGAGATGTTGTAGGGTGAAATAAGACCGAAGCACCTCATTTCCAGGCTCAATCTCTTCTTAGGAGTTCGTCCGAAAATTATTGAGGCATGTTGGCTACAGTGATTGGAGTAGACTTTACTGAGAGCCAGGGACTTGAACTGGTGGTGGGGCTCTGAAAGGAAAGCATACATTTGCATTTCTTACAAATGCCAATGGCATTTTGAGCTTAGTGAGCAGATGAGTTATGCTGGAAGGGTGTGCTGTCTTCTGAGATTACTTATTACAAATCACTCAGCCTTGGAGTTGCCGAGTCTAGCAACTCAGTTTCTCTCTCTGCTTTGTTGTTCTCTCTCTATGTTGGCTCGCTTATTCTGACTCTTCGAGCACAGGGTGGGAAAAAAAAAAAAAAAAAAAAAAAACAACCAAAAAAACACTTGATTGACTGGAATTGCTGGGTCCCTGTTCAAAATTCTCTGAGGGGAACATGATTGACTGGGCTTTGGTCAAAGATTCTCTTTTAGTCAGTCAAAATGTGCAAATTAACAATATGCTACAGAAATAACTGCCTCTCTATTTTTTCACCTGCACTTCTATCATGCACGGGGAAGTTTGTCAACTCTTTTTCTCCTCAAAAGAATTTTTAAAATACTTTCACCACTCCATAATCATGCCACAGCTCTTAAACTAGTAAAGCAGTATAGTTCGCAATTTTATTTAAGGCAGTTCCCAATTCAGGTGTTTTGAGATGTCTTTTTGTGTTTGGCCAATGTATATACCTTTTACTGTTCCCATCTTTTATATATAAAACTCAATTAAACTCGATAGCTTCGTTCCCCTCATTTAATACTATTACATTCTATTCACATATTTAAGTAATGTTATTTTATAGTATTTTATCAGACTGTCTTTACATAGAGTGACTATGAAGATCTGGAAGGCAAATACTACGTTTACTTGTCTTTACTTTTCTTTTCTTTTTTAATATTTTATTGATTTTTCACAGAGAGAAAGAGAGAGGGATAGAGAGTTAGAAACATTGATGAGAGAGAAACATTGATCAGCTGCCTCCTGCACACCTCCTACTGGGGATGTGCTGCAACCAAGGTACATGCCCTTGACCGGCATCGAACCTGGGACCCTTGAGTCCAAAGGATGACACTCTATCCACTGAGCCAAACCGGTTTTGTGTTGTCTTTATTTTTCTAATTCTGGTACATGATGCACTTTCTGTAACCAAATGTTGAATGAAAGAAAGAATGAATGGCACTGAATTTTCTTTCTTTTTTCTTTTTTGTTAATTCTCACCTGAGGTTATTTTTTCCCATTGATTTTTAGAGAGAGTATAAGGGAGGAGAATAGAGAGAGAGAGCGAGATAACCATCGATGTGAGAGAGACACATTGCTTCATTGCCTCCCAAATGGTCCTTAACCAGGGCCGAGGACTAAGCCTGCAATCGAGGTACCTGCCCTAGACTAGAATCGAACCAGCTACTCTTCTGTCCACAGGCCAATGCTCTAACCATTGAGCAATTGGCTAAGGCTGGCACTGCATTTTCCATACCAAAAAAAGACAGGTTTTGTATTTTTAGGATTCCCTTTTTATCACCTGATCTGTGATTCTTTTCTAACCTACCAGGATTGCTTTTTAAATAACTTGTTCTTTGGACTCTCTTAGATGGAAAAAAAATTCACTTAAGATGATTTTTTAATACTCAGACTCACTCATGTAAGTGATGAGATTTGGCAGTGGAGTTGGAAGGTCTTTCTCAGTAGGGATCACCCCTATGGAGAAATGGTCTACAAATGTTTTCTCTGAAGGGAGCCTTGATACTAGAGAACACTGATCAGTCCCCTACAGATCTGTTTTGTGAGAGGGTTCTGAACTGAATTATGTGGCCACCTCTCACTGTCTGATCTGATTCCTCAAAGCCTTCTTCTCAGCCATGTTCCTGGGCATGACTGTTGCCCAGAAAAATTCAGGATGAAATGGTCCATTCAAAGGCTGTGGCCATAGGTTTAGCTACAGAAGTGTAAGTGTTTGGCCCGTGGCGCTGTCTATAAGATCGGAGTCCCTGGGCGGAAGCCAAAGCTCCGCTCCACATTATGCCATGGAACTGAAACTCAAGAGGGAAATAATGCTCCTGCCAACGCAGGAGCTTTGCAGCCGTGACAGTAATTATTAAAAACTGTTAACAGTCCAAATATTCCAGCAGCTGAATGCCATAAAAATGGAGCCAAACCTTCAATCAAGGGTTTCTAATATAATTTCTCTGTGCTAGCTTTGTGATTAAAGATGAGTTTAACGGACTCACATATTAATATATGTAAATGAACCAGGTTGGAATTGCCATATTATTAAGATGAAAACTTGGCTTATTTTATCCTCAAAATAAGGAAATATCCATCTAGACCAGCAAATGGAATCATTTTCCTGGTTTATACCAAACGTCCAAAACTGATAATTGCTGGTGCTTACTCTATATGGAAAGACATGGCTCAGCTGTTTACACAGTGAAACAATATAGATGACATGTACTGAATGCTGCCTATGAGCCAGGCGCTTTACATACTGGATGCTGTTCAACATCACAACTAGATCACCTCCACTTTACAGGTGGGGACACTGATATGCTTAAGGCTAACAGTAAGGAGCAGCGCTGCTATTTGAACTCTCATCTGGGTGGTTTTAAAACCTTTGTTTTTTATTTAAAAAAATGTTTTTATTGACTTCAGAGAGGAAAGAGGGGAGAGAGAGAGAGAGAGAGAGAGAGAGAGAGAGAGAGAGAGAGAGAGAGAGAGAGAGAAACACTAATGATAAGAGAGAATCACTGATCTGATCTGCTGCCTCCTGCACATCCCATACTGGGGATAGAGCTGGCAATGCAGGCATGTGCCCCTGACTGGAATTGAACCTGGGACTCTTCAGTCCACAGGCTGATGCTCCATCCATGGAGCCAAACCAGCTAGTGCGTCTTTGTTCTTTCTAAACTCCTAAGCTATCTTCTTTACCAGTTCTTCTCTCCCTCTTTTTTTCATTTTTTAAAAAAATATATTTTATTGATTTTGTACAGAGAGGAAGGGAGAGAGATAGAGAGTTAGAAACATCGATGAGAGAGAGTCATTGATCAGCTGCCTCTTGCACACCCCCTACTGGGGATATGCCCGCAACCAAGGTACATGCCCTTGACCGGAATCGAACCCGAGACCTTTCAGTCCCCAAGTCGACGCTCTTATCCATTGAGCCAAACTGGTCTCAGCTCTCCCTCTTTTTTTCAATTTCTTACAAGTTAAAATATAGATTGAATATATTTATGTGTATAATGAAGCCTGAGGGTAATTTTTTTTTGAGGGGGGATATGATGAAGATAATGATATATTTATAAAATGTAACTCAAACTAAAGTGATAGGAGCCTCCACTGGCTTTATAGCCAAGGTCATACTGTTCCAAACTAGTTCTGAGAGTGTGGGGCTGCCGCATGTGTCCTTGGGAACAGAGAAGGGCCCTCGGGTCCTTCTGTCCCACCTCCTGCTGTATCTCCATGCCGAGTCCTCTGTATCCCAAGATCCCACTCTCTCCACATCAGGGCCCTGACTTTGGCATAGGAAACCTATTGAGGCTGCAAATTCGGTTTCTCTGTAGCTCTGCTACAGTTAAATCTTATCCCTGATTTTCAGCACAGACTGCAAGATTTAAAGACCCCTTTAAATTCTGCAGTGGAGACATGTTGACATTCACAGTGTGCCTTGAATTGTTAGCTAGCTAACCTGAGCCTGTCATTTTCTTTTGTCAAGATTTCTAAGTCTCTTAAATAAAATGAGAAATTTACAATTATTGTAATTATCATGGGCCCCATAATGTTCAAGGGTACTGCCAGTGCATACTCCAATACATACTCGCTTCCTTTGGCTTCTTCCTTCAATCCACACAGGAAACCTTGGTGGCTGTGATGCTACTGCATGCCAGGGGTCATTACCACTCGACTTACCAACACCTGTGTGGACTTTATCTCTGTCTAACCACAAGAATGTGGTGACAGCTGTCTTGGTCTTGCATTCAGGATATTTATGTTGGAAGCATGGAAGAGGGAAGGGAAGAAGGCAATGCAAGGGTGAATTGTGAGACACTGGGGCTCAGTCCTTCCAGGGACCCTTTGAGGAACTGTGTGAGATGAACCTCAGAGGGACAGATGGGGAGAGAACTTAGCTACTGCCTCTCATGCCCTCTTGATCAAGGTTTGTTCCCTGGTGTTTACTTCCTCCCACCTCATAGATGACTATCTGTGGGGTCAGAATAGCTGGTCTGTGGGCCTCTCACCTGGCTTGACAGTGACAGAGAAGCCTGGGGGCAGAAAGTGGGCAGTATATTTGGAGCACTTGACATACTGTATGATCAGGTTACATCTGAGCGTAGTTGATTGCATCAGTAATGATGAATAAAACGTTAGGCAAGGAAGATGTGAAGGGGGGCACAAGAAGTATCAGACACAGATGTGATTTTGTTATATGGCCCCAACAAATTATCACAAAATAGATGATTTCCTAAAGTCTGGGTTAGCTGGTTTCAAATCACACCAGTACGAGGCATTGATGACTCTGTCTTGGTTGTGGTGCTCCAGTTTCTCCTCAGTCCCTCTCATCAAGTGTTCACAAATGTTGGGGTTTAGACTCAAGGTCACACGAATACTCAGGGCTTTACTTAAATGAATGCTTGGTTACATTTGTGTGGCTAGTGTCACATAATGACTGTGTATTTGTTGTAATCCCATGGTTGCTGGTGTTTTCTGAGGACTGTGGTGGTACAAAAGGCTGTGGGCCAGGGAAGGTAGAAATAGGATAACTTGTGAGGGAATCTGAAACAAAGATGTATGTCTCCATTGATGGGGGTGAATTCAATCAGATCCACTGGGAAGCTTTTCCCAGATGTCATGCTCTTGGCAGGGGGAAAGGGAAGGGGTTGAAGAGGCAGAGTATGTGTTGCTTGGAGCTACTCAACAGGCAAGTCTGCAAAGCCCCACCCACTTCTTTTTGAGAATGCTGGAGTTGCCCAGTACTCAGTGGAAGTTCCACAGGATTTTTGACAGATTTGTCACTTTGGTCCATCAGGTTCCTACAGCCATACCCAAAGCCAGGAGAGGCCCTGTGGAATGAGGGTGGCTGTCCACAAAGCTTCTGAAACAAAGACGTGACTTGAGCTGATTAAGAAGGAGACAGAGCCCTGCTGGTGTGACTTTGTTGGCTGGAGTGTTGTCCTGTGCACTGAGAGGTTGCAGTTTCAGTTCCTGGTCAGGGCACATTGATGTGTTCTCTCTCACATCGACATTTTTCTCTCGCTTTCTCCTTTTCTCCCCTTTTCCCCAGTCTCTCTAAAAATCAACAAGCAAGTTCTTGGGTGAGGGTTTAAAAAAGAAGAAGGAGGCAGAATACTTGTACAGACTTCTGTGTAACATCAGCTTTTGGAAACCCACAGCTGCCCTTGACCTCTTGACCAAGGTCTCCTCCGTCTCTACCACTAAAGCGTCCACAAGTGACTATGCTTTCCTAAACTGACCTTGAGGCTGGTGACAGGCTGTCCCTACAGGGCAGATCATCTGCATGCTCTGGGAGTCCTGCCTGCTCCTCCCCAGCCGCTGGCCTCCCGGGATGCTGCTTTTGGCAGGAGTGTCTTACAGCTGGGTTGATTATTAGCGAATTTCTGAATCATTTATGCCAATGCTCCCTTTTGTTAGTGTGAATGATCATGAACTGGTTGTAATAAAAGGGATTTGGGTTTGAGGAACAAAAGAGCGAGATCTATTTTTCAGTGTAACGTTATAAGTTGTTCAGTTTTGTTGTCGCTCTTGAAGACTGTTGGGAGAAGCAGTTCGGTGTGTTGGAAAGGACCCTGATTCCCGAACCTCCTCTCCTCCTCTCCTTACTGTGCCTTAGTGATCACCTTGTCTAACATCCTCATGCTTCGTTTGAGCAAACAGAGGCCCAGGGAGCTTAGCGGTGGAATCAGAATCAGAAGCCAAGTGGCTGAATTCTCTCTCTGCTCTCATCTACATGATCTCATTGACCTACTGGGCATTCGTTTAACTCGTGAGGACACAAGTGAGATGACAACTTTCTGCACTCATGAGAATGCTCTCCAGAAACTGACCAGGCTGGTACTCTGATCTCAGATTCCAGTGTCCACAACTGTGAGAAAATGAATATCTGCTGGTTAGGCCACTCAGTTTGTTGGTATTTTGTTATGGCAGCCTGAGCTGACTAATTCAGGGGGCTAGACTAGCTAGCGCAGACTATCAGAACTTGTCTTAGTTTGAGTTCTTCCAAAAGCTGACCCTGAGACAAGGATCAAAGGGAGACAGT